CCAGATGGCATACATCCAAGAGTTCTGAAAGAACTCAATTGTGAACTTGTGGATCTCCTGACAAAAATATGTTTTACATTGCAGCTGTCCTGCTTTTAAACATTCCCGGCTAATATAGCCACACCCACTGTACACATACCAACCAATAAGGTTGTTCACATAAGGGACCAATCACGGCCGTTCCCGCTCAGGGAGCTAACTGCTAAGTGATTGGCTTGTTACTTCCTGGGCTAAAAATACCATTGGATGACTTTGGATCCTAGCCCAGGATGAAGCTTAACATTACAAGTCTATGAGATGTTTCACATACATTCTGCATTCCATGGCAGCTTTGGAATACACTACACCTTCCATCCTCTACACTGGACAAACAGGCCAGTCCCTTCAACAAAGAATTGATGGACATAGGTCTGACATCAGAAACCACAACATTCAAAGCAGCGGGGGGACAATTTAACCTTCCAGGACATTCAGTTGCTGACCTAAGAGCAGCCGTTCTCTCACAAAGGAATTTGTAAGGGAGATTAGAAAGACAGACTGCTGAATTGGGTGTCAACATGGCAAATGGGGTTCAATGTGGCCAAGTGCAAGGTGATGCACATTGGAGCCAAAAATCCTAAATATAAATACACATTGATGGGGTCTGAACTGGCAGAGACTGATCAAGAGAGAGATCTTGGAGTTGTAGTGGATAACTCACTGAAAATGTCGAGACAGTGTGTGACTGCAATAAAGAAGGCCAATGCTATGCTGGGGATTATTAGGAAGGGTATTGAAAACAGATCAGCCAATACCATAATGCCCCTATATAAATCAATGGTGAGACCTCATTTGGAATACTGTGCAGTTCTGGTCACCACACCTTAAAAAGGATATTATAGCTTTGGAAAAAGTACAGAAAAGGGCAACTCGAATGATAAAAGGGTTGGAACACTTTCCCTATGAGGAAAGGTTAAAGCACTTAGGGCTCTTTAGCTTGGAGAAAAGACGACTGAGGGGTGACATGATTGAGGTTTACAAGATTATGCATGGGAAAGAACAGGTAGAGAAAGAGGTACTTTTCTCTCTTTCTCACAATACAAGAACTCATGGGCAGTCCATGAAATTGCTGAGCGGTCGGGTTAGAACGGATAAAAGGAAGTACTTCTTCACCCAAAGAGTGATTAACACATGGAATTCACTGCCACATGAGGTGGTGGTGGCTACAAGCATGGACGGCTTCAAAAGGGAATTAGATAGGCATATGGAGCAGAGGTCCATCAGTGGCTATTAGCCACAAGGTATAGATAGGGGCTCTGGGGCAAGTGATGCTCTGTCTTCTTGGTGCTTGGGGGGGGCAACAGTGGGAGGGCTTCTAATGTCCTGGCCCCACTGGTGGACCTCCTGATGGCATCTGGTATTTTTGGCCACTGTGTGACAGAGTGTTGGACTAGATGGGCCTTTGGCCTGATCCAACATTGGCATCTCTTATGTTCTTATATTCTTGTCTCTTCCCCAAACCTCTGTCTCTGCCTTATTTTCTCCAGGTCAGCAACCCTAGCCTCAAGGCCATGAGCTCCGTGCAGCCAGCACATACCCATGATTGCCACCCAGTGGGTAGATAATCAAAATGTGGGCAGTCTCTGCAAAACACTGGATACCCCTGCTCTCTTGCTGGCTTTCTCCCTGTATAACTGGTTAGCAGTTTAAAGGTATCTAGAATGATGCAGGATCCTTAGGCCTGATCTCCAGGCCCTTCAGCTCACACCAAAGGCTTGGGCCTCTGCCTAGGAGGAGCCTTACAGTTCAGAATTTATGAAAGGCAAAAAACTAGGATTGGCAGGTCCCCCCTGCGGTGGATGTGGGGGTAGGGCTGCCAGATCCCGGTTGGGAAACTCCTGGAGATCTGGGGATGGAGCCTGGAGAGGACAGGGACCTCAGTGGGGTGCAATGCCACAGAGCCCACCTTCCAAAGCTTCCATTTTTTCCAGGGGAACTGATCTCTGTGGTCTGGAGATGAGCTGTAATTCGAGGGGATCCCCAGGTCCCGCTTGGAGGCTGGCATCCCTACAAAAAACACCTTCCCAGCAGCTCTCTCGTGGGTTCCTTCTCCCAGCCCACCCCAGAAATGGCATCCAAGAGGCAAAGAGTAATTCATAGCCTGTGATAAACTGCGGATGGGGGGTTTGGACCAACCTAGCAGCAAGATGGAATCTAGCCTTGGCCTCAACCCTAGCTCAAGACAACCTAAACAGTAAATGGGGGAAGGAGAAATACAAGGGAAACAATGAAAAATGACCAAACAAGAGAATGAAATTAATGGATATAATAATGAAACTAAAACTAATTAAGTTTAAAAAAAAAAAAGATGAAAAATGCATACCTATTAGCCACAGAGCTGAACTACTAAATTAGATGGAGTTTCAGTCCTGTCCAGCCCGGTCACTCTTCCAGCATTATGTTTACATAGCTGTCATATTACATAAGTATCTTTGGAACCTGAGTTCAGCACCTATATTGTCCTTCAGTTTATAAGACAGGTTTGGGCAAACTTTCTCAGCCTCAGGTCTGCTGTTGCAAAATGGAAACGGTAGTACCTTCCTCCGAAGTATACAAATGAGAAAGAAAGAAAGAAAGAAAGAAAGAAAGAAAGAAAGAAAGAAAGAAAGAAAGAAAGAAAGAAAGAAAGAAAGAAAGAAAGAAAGAAAGAAAATAATTGAGCTTTGAAAGAAACCACACTCTGTCTCCAGCACGTGGTCATTTCCCCAGAGAGTAACCTCATCCACCAAGTCCCAAAATGAAAGGATAGCTAGTACAAATTGTGTCTCTGACATCTCCTCTTTGTATTCTCAGTGAGTAAAACCTGAAAGGCAAATATACATTATAAATGTGAAAACAGCTGTCTTGGAGTGTGTTGCAAGCCACTAACAGGGCTAATGGATTTGAATGACATCATAACTTATGAGAACACATTGCAAGCCAGCTGGTGTTATTTGTAATATATACATGCGGAGGGGGAGTTGATAAAAAGGTAAAAGGCATGTATCTCTTGTCAGGTGGCATTTGATATAATTGCAACGTTATTAACCCACCCATTAGGCTTCCCAACCTTTTTTTTACCAGCTCCTGCACATTTACTAGCAGTTTGATCAGCAAGCACTGGAATGCTTATCCCCACACCATAAAAGGCTTCACCTGCTGCGGCTAAAAGAACAGATCCTGCACAGTTTGTGTGTGTCTGTGTGTGTGTTGGCCAAACCTACCTACCCATCCTAGTTTATTCTTTGTACCACAGCACACACAGTGTTGTCATAACCCAGGAATCAAATGCATGACAATTGCCCCACCACAGACAAATGACTGGAAGTTTTGAGGAAATCAGTACCAGCCTGGGTGAGACAGTAGGGTTGCCAAGTCCAATTGTTGTGCCAGCAGAAGATTGGGGGAGAATTCTGGGAGTGGGCGGGGACATCACCAGGAAGCGACATAGGCACGCCAGGAAGATGCTCTGGGTTTTGGGCAAAACTCTATGGTAAAATCACCCACAAACCATAGAGTTTTGCCCAAAAACCAGAGCGTCACACACACCCCATGTCACCAACATGCCTACGTTATTTCTGGGTAATGTCAGCAAGTCGCACATGATATTGCTGTTTGGAAGGGTGGGGGGAATTTCCTCCCACCAGCCGTTTGACTGCTGGTGGGCTGGAGCCCACAAAGTGGGGGATCCCCCACTCCCAGCTGGGGAGTGGTAACCCTCGGTAAGAGAGGAAACTGCAATCCCCCCCACTACCATGCTTTAGAAGAAGAAGACAACAAGTAGAAGAAGAGAAGAGGATATTGGATTTATGCCCCACCCTTCACTACTCAAAGGTGTCTCAGAGCGGCTTGCAAACTCCTTTCCTTTCCCTTCCCTTCCCCACAACAGACACCCTGTGAGGTAGGTGGGGCTGAGAGAATCAACTCTTGTCAGAACTATGGCTTGCCCAAGGTCATCCAGCAGCTGCAAGTGGAGGAGTGGGGAATCAAACCCTGTTCTTCCATATTAGAGCCTGCGCTCCTAGCCACTATACCAAACTGGTGACATGTAGTAAGCATCAGGAAGTCCAGCATTTTGGGTGCATGGATTATACTACAAAATGTGATTTCAGGGTTAACATTTGCAGGAGCTGGTTTGGGTGACATGCTGTCCTTCCCAGGTTCAAAGAAGAAGAAAAGATTGGATTTATACCCTGCCCTTTACTACCCAAAGGTGTCTCAGAGCGGCTTACAAACTCCTTTCCTTTCCCCTCCCCACAACAGACACCCTGTGAGGTAGGTGGGGCTGAGAGAGCTCTGACAGAAAGTGCTCTTTTTCAAGAACAGCTCTTATCAAAACTATGGCTTGCCCAAGGTCATCCAGCCAGGTGCAAGTGGAGGGGTAGGGAATCAAACCCAGCTCTCCCAGATTAGAGTCCATGCGCTTTACCACTACACTACAATGCAAAGGTGTACAAGCCATGCACAGAACGCCACTAGCTGAAATATGACCACTGTGTGTTAGTTTCCCATTGCAGTTTATGCTTCTTCATCTTCTAAACCATTTTCCCTCCCCATTGCAAATGCACATTTTTTTAAGGAGGAAGGGAAAAAAAACATGCTTCAGTGCTCCAGTTTCAAAATGCAAAGGTATGATGTTATTTGTCACCATGCCCAAAAAAGTCCTTACTCGGTAACTTTGCCAGAAGAGGGAGAGAGAGAGAAAGAGAAAAGGCAAATGTTCTCCCAGCTGTTTCCTGTCTACAGTGTCTATGTAATGTAGATAAATGTGAGGATTTTCTCTAAATCCCTCTTCTGTTTGCTAAATCTCACTGTCACTGCTAAAATCAGAGCAGATAGAGCCTGCGCAATGGAATAAAGTCCTCAATATTGAAATGTGACATTACTCTCAACATCTCACCTCTCTCTGGATTTCTTTTCTTTTTTTTTTCCTCATTATTACTGCTAACCAATTCATTTCCAGAGTGTGCACTTAAGAAGCAATGGAAAAAATCAACAGTCTTTCAACACAATTATTTAAGTGCTGCTTTTGTGATTTCTTGAAGGTAAATCTTTCTTCCTATTTGATTGCTTTAAAAAAACATTTTATTGTGTGTGATCTGTTTCTGGCTAGAAGATTGCTCTGCACTTTTCAGGGACATTATTTTTTTACTGTGCATTATTTCTAAATTGCTGAGCAGACAACTTTAAGCAGAGCTGAGGAATGACTGCATGTGATTGGTCTTAGTACATCTAAGTGGCTTTAAAGGTGAATCTATTGCAGGTATTTAAGAATTTACTTGCATTGGGGAAACTTTGCAAAATGCTGGCTGTCATAGCTGCAATTTCCACTTACATCACTTTCTATAGCTAAAGCTGCTGAGCAGGGAGTAAGAAGTTTTGGATTTCTCTGCAGGTGCAGATGATGACATGATAGCCATCAGATATCAGGTAGCTGGTTCAGTTCTCTAAGAATATTTTATGCATAGAATTCTCACTGAAGGCTACAACATACAGCTTTTGCTGCAGATGTGTGCTGGCGCTATTTTGCATTTACTTTTTTTTACTGCTTTCCTGTTAAAGTGAAGTTTGTTTTTTCTTCTCTAAAATAGAAACCATGTACAGCTTTTGCTGCCCATGCATATTCATGTAAGTTTTAGGGAATTGTGCAGGAAGGAAAGTGAAAAGATTTCTTTGTCCTGATTTGTTTTGTTTTTCCTTATGTCCTTTGCAAAGGGGGTTTTGTCAAACAAACTTTGTTAATTTGTATACTTTTTTACTACCCCTTGCTACTTAAGAACATAAACTCTTTTTAGGTAAATTTGGCTCCAGTAGATGCACTGACCTCTGTTTCTCTCAGCTGGCCTTCACTCAAGTTTCCATTCTCAGCAAAATTATATCCTTCAAGAATTAAGTTTCCCCCCCATTTGTAGGCAGAGTTTTATGCAGTTGACAGTCTCCAATGTAGTAGGTGCCAATGTGGTTTTTAAAACTGCCTTTCTTAAACTTGATTAATCAATTTTATTTCAATACAGGGAGGGTGGGAAGGAGGTGCAATAAAACTGAGAGTATAAGAAAACAGAATGTTGTACACATTTTTGTTAAGTCAGTAACCACCGAAGGGTCAGAATTGCAACCCCCAAACCATGGCCATTCATATGTAAAGTTTACTTAAGAGAGAAAGAACAAAAGTAAACCAGTACTTTTAAGGTAGCCTCTTCCCATATAATACATATTCACAACTTGTACCAAGTAGCTCTGCTACACTTCAGCTACCCAAATTTATAGTAAAAGACAGCTTCTTGGTGGCTGGTTTTTAGGATTCTGCTGCCCATGTTCTCAGACACAAGTTCTACTGACTTCAGTGTGTGTTATTCCCTAGTCTAAGACTGCAGCTTTAGCTTTATTGTACTAAGTGAGGGTAAAGGCACCTTGAGAAAAAGATATCAAGTGACACGGGGCTTTCCCACAAAGTCATTCTTTTGGATTATGCCATCTGCGTGGATTCTACTGAACTCCAGTTTTCCACAGACCAAAGACAATCCACTTTGCTATGGCTCATGTCCATCAGAAAAACTCTCCATACAGAAGTACCAAAGCTGAATCCTTCAAATCCTTCTTTGCATTACGTTGATCATATCCGTTGTTACTTGCATACATGTTTAATACTAGTATTGTTGTATTTGACTGCACAGCAATTTACACAAGTATGTCCTTGTCATGGATGGATAACTTGTTCTTGAAGTTCCATAGAAGCCAGACAATTTAGGAAATGCAAAATATGTTTCCTTTTTCTAGTCTATAGTATTCTGTTGCCAGAGCTGTATCATTACAAGGCATTTCTAGTAAACAAGAAGTATCCCTGTTTAAATGGTCACAAGTCAGCGTTCACCCCAAGTTTGCATGAATGTTTCTATGCGCGGCTGGATTTAAAGCTTGTTGAATGGGAGGAGTTGGGGGAGGGTAAGGAAGGTGTAAAAGCATTGCAACGAGCCATGTGTTGGCTTCCGTAAGTGCCACTGTTTTGGATTGTTCCACTCTGTGTGCAGTAGACACAGGATCTTCTACTGAAGGAGGGATCCATGGAAACTCCAGCTGTGAAACACAGTTGGTCATTTATTACAGGGATGTTTAGCGAGTGTTGGACTGCATAGAGTTGGACTCAGAGTCCAAATGTAATCAGATACTTCAATAAACTCCACCCACATTCCAGGGCATGCTTTTAAAGGCCTCTGTTTCCCATTCAATTTGGACACACAATAAATTGGACACACCTTGAACTGTTGAAAAGATCAGCATCCAAATTGTTAGATTATCGTAAGTATTTTTTTATGAATCCCAACATCCCACCTATATAGGAAAGAACTGTAAAGGTACAAAATAGAGTGTTCATTTTGTGTCAGATTCCTAAATAATCTTTAAGGGACTATTATGTGTTCTGTAGACCAGGAGAAAGGTCCGTTTGGCCTATTAACATGTGAAGTCCTCACAGTCTCACCCCAAACAACCTTTCAAAGTTCTTGGTCATTTTATAACTGTGGGGAGCAGTGATGAAGCTCTCCTGACTTGCACCAAAAGAGGAAGAAAAGCATGAAAACCCTATCTCATCCTAAAACTTGGACCAGAAATTTTGTTTATGATATTAGCTTCAGTGTCTCAAAGAGATATAGATATAGATATATATCCCTGCTAAATGAGGTTTATATTTGAAGCAATTGAGGAACACACTGTTAAATACAAAGTGTCCTTAGCTATATGCAATTCCATTCCATAGAGCCTATGCCATGACAGGGCATTTGAACTGCCTCCTTAGAAGGTAGAGTATCTGGACAGCAGATAATGTATCTCTACACTAAATCTCTTTGAGATGTTATTCATGTAGGAAAGTTATGTTGTTGAAGCAGGGACTGTTCAGAATACCATGCTGGGTCATTTATATGGCTCTTCTGTCTGCCACTGAACTCATGTCCAGATATTTGAGCTTGTTTGTTGGTTTTTAGAATGGCAAAGTTGGTTGACCCAATACTCTTATTATGAATGAAAACGTGTTCATTCTCAATTGCTCCATCACGTGTGTTGATTTTGTTATGGATGCTTTCATTCTGCCAATGGTAAATGAAGGCAACGGTTCTTACTTATATACTGTTTTCCTTTGTTCCATTGCTGTCTAGCAAAAAGCCTTTAATCCTAATGTGTGGGGTTCTTCTGTAAAAGGGCTTGTATCTACTGAGAACCCTGGAGGCACAATGGATATGTCTTTGCTTTACATACTGAAACACATTATACCTGTTCACAGGAGCCACCAGTGAACATGGGACCACCTAATTCCTAGGGCAGGTTGTGCCCTTTATAGCAACAGAATTTATGTTTCCCATGGGGTAAACCACTCACATATATAAATGAAAAAGTTAACTGCTGCACTCAAGATCACTGAGCTGGAGGCTAGTCCTGCTTCCCAAAAAACAGTGACACCACCACCACCCCAGGACACCACTCCCTTTTGATGGTTGGTCACACTAGAGTGTGACGGAATGGGATGGAATGTTGGCCACTGGCTTTTTATATATTTCAGAGAGAACCATTCAACTGAGCAAGTGTCTTAGGGCTCCCAACTGCTATTGATTCTGCAGAAACACAAGGGCCTTTTTTGCATTTCACACAGTTGGATGGTGTTTGCGTTTGTAATAAATAGATTATTTCCGTCTGGTTCTTGAAACAATCTGTGAAGAATGTGGTTAAATTGCCACTGATGTCCAGGAAAGATCAGTATGCCACAGATGCTTTGAGCTGCTTCAGTAACATAGAGCAGCTGCTACTCTTTATTTAAACAGCATTTACACAAGGGTGTAGAGCTGCTTTGGTAGCTGGACCACACCCAATCCATTTGGCCTTGCCATTAGCAGCTGGATCATGGTATCTGTTCATTCAGACCCCATGAAAGTGACAACCATCAAAATGCATGAGTTTACCTATGAGCTTCCAGGATCAATATATTATTATTATTATTACATTCCATTTGTATACCGCTCACCCCCTAAGGGCTCTGAGCGGTTCACATTACATTATACAACACATCCTACACATCCTATATATGTAGGGTGGGGCGCTTTTTTTTTAATAGTTGGGCAAAGGAGATAATTTTGGCATATCCAACGTCTTGTGCCACAGTGGTTGGAGAAGTCAGGCAAGAGTTTTCCTTGCTGTGCCACTATAAAGGGACCAAAGGTTGCCTTGTATTCAGCATTGGAAACCTCATTGCCCTGCACTTTTAGGAAGGATGTTTGTGAGCAAAAAAGACAGAAAGCTTTTGGATGCTTTTGTCTACTGTGCCTTTAAGATATAATTTGTACACAGAATACAACATTTTACTTCATTAACCCTTGTGCCACAGTCTCTTGAAAACCAGCAGCTGCCTTCATAGTTCTGATTCACACATTTGCTGCATGGAATGTGTGTTTGGGTCTCTGGTGTAGCCTGGTACATGGTAAAACGCGTTTATATCAAAACAAGAGGGCCTGGGCTTAAGCCTACCTGGAAATCAGAACCTCTGAGCTTTGCCCTTCAAGCCTGCTGTGGGGGGCAAGATGCAGTTATTTAGTAAAGATGGAAATGTGCACCGCATGTGTATAGTTGTTACTACTTCACATGGTCCAGATTTCAGTGCTCTCTACCTCTTTCCTTAAGAATGGCAACTAGTTGGGTTCATTTGCTAAGCTGTATCTTTATTTTTCAACATGTCTAATTCATATAGTCTGTAAAAAGAAGCATCCTGCATGTGATCTAAACTGCTTACTTCTCTACCTGACTATTCTTCTACTTATAGTGAACAGGTGGGAGACTTACAAAGACTTGTGGGGAGCATTTCCATTTCTTCTTCCCCCACTATTTCCTCCTTCCCTTCCCTGGCAGCCCCCATCGACTCTCTCCTTTTTCTGCGAACTTCTCTCCTTCCCATCCACCAACCAACCTACCTTTATCTGCCCCAGCCTCTCCCTGAAAACTGGGGCCAAGTTGTGCAGTGGGATACACACTTTCCCCAGTATCCCCTCCCCACAATATCTCATCT